GGACGCGGCGTGGCGGGGGGAGATGTCGGCCGGGACGCGCCACCGGACCGGGAGGGAAGGGGTTGGCGGTGACCGGGGGGCTCCGGGGGCTTTCCCCGTGCCGGGCAGGCAGCACACGGCCCCCGGCCATCCCCGGGCCTCGATAAGGGGCAGGAACCGCCGGCGGTCAGCAGCGGCCGGGGCGGGGGCCTGCGCCACGGGCCCGCCGCCGGGGGAGGCCTCCGCCAGCCCCAGTCTGCCGGTTCGAGCTGCCAGGAGGAGATGAAGGGGTTAGGGGGGGAGATGGCTCCGCAAAGCTCCAGCACGAAGGGCCACCCTGACCCGGTTCCGTGGCAGTGCTGCTGTCGGGGTCCGGCGCCGCTCCCTAAACCCGGAGGGGAAGCACGGCTGCCTTCGGTAGGGCCATAAGGACGGTGATTAAGGCGCATTGCAGACATGCGTTTCTCTCCGACGAGGATCCCGGTTGTGAGGAGGGCTGGAAAGGGCTTCGCCACCCGTGGGGAGCCGTGAGAGCACTGCTCATCCCAGGGTGACGGGGAGGGACGCTGCTGAAGTTCATCTTCCAAGCTGGTTTGGTTTCTTCACGTGCCTTGAGGGAGCACTGCGTGCTGGAACATTCACCAGAGCTGTCAGAGATGGAGGGCTTGGGGCTGGACGACAGCAGGGAAGGTGGATGCTGGCCACGGCTGGTCAGGAGCGAGGGAAGCCCAAGAAACAGCTGTCTGTAGCTGCAGGCTTCGCCTTTAAAACGTGCCTTTCACTGCGAGCAGGGGGAAGGCTACATATGCAGCAGAGCTGTCAGCCCCACATCTGGTCTTAGGAACTGTTTATTGCAGACACTGACAGATCACAGAGAGGAGGAGGCAGAGCGGGATGACATGATGGATTCACTCCCGGAGACACTTTCTGAGTGGCCAGGCAGGGCTGGTTGTCTCTGAGCTTGAGGGGTTCTGCAGCTTCTAATTTAAAAATAAAAGAAAAAGACAAATCTCTGTCTTCTGATCCTAAATGTTGTGGCCGTGCGGGGAATCAGACACTGCTCTGAATTTCCTCCTGTGCCCCAGCCCCAGGCTACAGGTGGATTTCCCACCAGCTTTGCAGGCTCTGGAAAAGGTCATCTGCTGTGTTGGAACGTGGCTCAGGAGCAATGCCAGCCCACAAGCTGGCCATGTCTGCATGCCCCGCTCTCCGTTGGTGTTCGTTTTCCCTGTTGCTCGTGGGGAAAGGTGGATTGTTTGCTCTACTTGCTGCCAGCTGCCGCCTCTGTTCAGCTGTAATCGCTATTCGTCCTCCCACCAAACACTTGAGTGACCTCAAACCAAACAAGCAGAGGACATAAAAGAAGAAAGATACAAATCCACTCCACATTTTAACATGCAGTGTTTTCAATTAATTTGGTTTGGGATTTTCACTGTTACCCCAGGGAAAATCTGAAACCATTTGGAATCATCATACTTGATCTTAGCTATGTAGAAGACTATGCTTGTCTGCCTCTCAATCTATTAGACTGACATGAAGGAGGGGGTGATTTTCCTCGTGACTGCACAGTTCTGTTATTGCCCTGCTTTGGAGATAACTTGTTTTTTTAAGGGTTGACAACCCAGAACTCCCCAAAGTCTCTGCTTGCAATAATGACCGCACACACATGGAGTGTGAGGGTAGTTAGGATACTGTCTTTAGCCCCAAACTGAATTTTCTCCCATCTCCAATTAATCCTGCCATTACCTGCAGTGATGCTGGGTCACTGTCCAGCTCCTACTGGAGATCTGTCCTCATCTGACACCCTCTGGCCACCTTTGCCTGAGCAAAGGGACTAAATTCCCCATTACCCGCATAAGTCCTCCCTGCAGCTTGTCCCATCTGGTGACAGCCCACAGTGTCACCTGCTTCCAGGATGTAAATTGGAGTCTCCCCTGCCTGATGTTCAGGCTTCTCTCGCAATGGCTGCTGTAGTTTCATGGTCCAGGCAAAGGCTGAGGGAACGACGTCCCCAGCACCTTCACTTCTGCCATGGCTGGAGGCCCAGAGCTATTGATCGGAGAGAGACTCTGCCCACACAGTATTGATCAGCAAGCACCGACTGGGCAATGCAGGGCTGACGGTCAGTGGCCACGGGGGGACTTCCCAGAAAGACACCTTCATGGCAGTTGACGCAACCTGTTGGTCTGATTACCCCATCCTCTCCCAGGCCTGTGTCTGGCCTTGAGCCCTCTGATCAGAGCAGTCATGTGGCAGTTCGCTAATGAGGTGACGCCCTGCACGGGCAGCACATTGTCAGGTGGAAGAGGAAACCGAGACAGGCCGAGGGAGAGGTTTACGATCTTTTCTGTCCTACCAGCCATGGATAGGAAGCAGAAGCAAGCGGAGAAGGTACAGTATGCCCACACTGCCATGATTAACACCCTTCATTTCTTCCCAGCCCCACTCTTCTTTCATGCTTCAGTAATTCCCCCTTCTCTTATTAACATTCCTTTTCCAAATCTCAATCTCATAGTTCTTGCCAGGTCCTACAAAGAGCATCATAGGGCATTTTCTTTGGGGGCTCAGCACCATGCAGAGGCTTTGTCACCTTGCAGATTTACTCTTTCTTCTTCTCTGTGCTTAACTGCTGGGAGGAAGTGGCGGGACAGCTATTTTCTCATTGCCTTGGAAATCAAAGGGTATGTTCTCACTGGCTTTGCATCCTCAGTACGCTGACGATGCGAAGTCCGGAGTCCTGTAGGAGAGTGTCTGATTCAGTAGATCCAATAGAGAGGGAGGAGCAGAGGGAACTGAAAACCTTTAGAATACAATTTAAACATCTTCAAGCTGAAGGATGTCCAACCCTGTTCCCCCAAGAGGATGTTGTTATTCTTTTGGGAGAAAACTGGCAAGTTAATTTCCTGGTTATCAGTTGGGTTTGCTCTGTTTCATTTCTCTGCCCAGGGAAATGGTACAGTGCTTTCTAAGGCTTTCATTCCCACATGACCCCATCAGATCCCAGGAATCTGTTGGCATCACCCACAATTTCCTGAACAGCTCTCCCTGTTTCCTCTCCAAAGACTCCTGTAATTTGGCCAGTCCCATACTGGTACAACTGGATAGAGGTTCTCTTAATATAGCTGGGTCCTCCAGTAACTGGGAGGTTCACCAGCGTAAAGGAGCATTGCTCCAAGGCCTAGACATCACAGCCAGTCCTTCCCTGACCATCGCTGGTGACATACGATCCCTGGCCAGTCAGAGAAGAGGCATTTTAATCCTGCCCCAAACTCACCTAAATTCTGCCTCATCAAAGCCAAAAGGGCAGTTTGATTTGGCATAAGGGTTCTACTTAACTTTCAAGCCTTACGCTGTTGTAAGAAGTCATGAAACAGTTTCTGACAGTACATAAGATGAATATTTCTTTCACAACTTACTTTCTTCCCACTTACCATGGGATGGAAGGGTTTGACTTTGTTGAACGCATGGAGATTCTTAGCTGGAAGGTGCCTAGAGAGTGAGATGTCATTATCCTGGCAGCATTTCCTCTGATGAGCTGAGAATCAGTATTTTGGGAGATCAAGTTTCTCAGCTTTTCTGGATATCCTACAACCATCTCTAGCATGCTATCATTAGACCTGCGCCTTGCGTTTGCGCTTTGGGTGCTCTGCTCCCATGCTGTGACATCTGTGTGCCCTCAGAGAGGTTGGGATGGAGACTCCCAGATCCAGGTTATTTGCTACTTTGTGCACATCAGGGGGGAAGTTTTGTCTCGACATTTGCTCTGTGCTTTGCAGGCCAGGCCCTACGGCCTGCTGAAGCCGACAGCTTTAGGCAAGATCCCAGGCAGATTCCAACTTCATCAGGAAGCATTGCCCCATCTGCCTGTGCCACCGCTCCAGCAAACACTGGACCGCTACCTGCTGGCTCTGCAGCCCATCATCAGCGAGGAGGAGCTGAACCACACACAGGAGCTGGTGGCTGAGTTCCGCAAGCCAGGAGGTGTTGGGGAGAGGCTGCAGAAAGGCCTGGAGAGAAGAGCCAAGAAAACAGAGAACTGGGTAGGTTGGGACTCTGGCCCCAGGCTCCGGTTAGGGAGGGTGGAGGTCTGACGCACACCTCTCCAATGTCCTGGTTGCATCCACTGACACCTGTGTTTTTATGGCATCACCTTCATGACCAGTCTGCTGCTGACCTCCCTGAGCTGTGCAAGCTCCTCACCAGGACTTGGGTGAGCAGATTTATGGCAGAACAGGGAGTCGCTGACCCTGTCTGTGGCCGCTGAAGCCTCTAACCTGTTAACATCACACAGCTGCCCCAAGAAGTTGAAGGAAACCCTCTGCTCAAGCCCTGCACCAAGAGCCCCCACTGCCTTGCTCAGTTCCCCATCTACCATTCCATGTGCAAAGCATAAAACCCGAACAGTTTGTTTGCAAAGTGTGGGACAGAACTGGGGGCAGGATGCTGAGACCGTTCAGCTGGGCTTGGGTCAGACAGCAGCAGATGCCATGCCTGTTGCCTTTCTCCGTCCCAGCTCTCAGAATGGTGGCTGAAGACAGCTTACCTGGAGTATCGCCTGCCAGTTGTGGTCCACTCCAGCCCAGGTGTGGTTTTACCTAAGCAGGATTTTCTGGATCGACAAGGTCAGCTCAGGTAAAGTCCTCTTCTACCTTCCCCTAGGTTTCACATGGGATGAGCTATCTCTGCTGTACAGGGAGGAGGGTGTGTAGGCTGATTGGGAGAGCAATTACCATGTGGTCCCCAAGTTTGATAGCTGTTTGTGCTGTGCAGATAAAGAAAGGCTGCCAGGCTGTTAGGAAACTCCTGGTTGCACCAGACTAAATACTTCATCAAGGGGGAAAAACAAGGAGTCCAGTGGTTCAGGTACTAAACAGGGACTAAAAGCCTATGTTTCAGTCTTTGCTCTAGCACAGATCTTCATTGCAAGATGGCCAAATCACTGGCTGGAGGCACTGTGAGGATATATCTGACACCCTAAAGACTAAGAAGCACTAAGATTGTGTGTGCAGTTGAAGGAGGCATAAAAAGTAGCCCAGGCATGTAAGGGAGACCAACCAGAAATGCCTCTGGAGTTTGCTAGTTCATAGGGATGGGGGAGCCTGCTGCAGGGACTGTCATTCAGTCTGTTCCTGCAGGGGACTGGCCCCTTCTGTATCATTTCACTTGTGATTTATGGTTTGGGAAACTTAACAGTGACCAGCCTCTGCACTCTGAGCTTTTCCTTGCAATCAAACCCTGCCATGTCCTCTCTTCCTTGTGGTCTCCTTTTAATTTTTAACCACCACTACCAGTGTGTTAAATCCACCTGCAAAGCTTTAGCATTGACCTTTATACAGAGTTACTAGCCATCACTGCTCTGGCAGATCAAAAGTACCACCAGGGGAGCAGTGAGGCTGAGAACAAATCCTCCCTTCCACTCCCTTGGGTACACCTAAGCAGAGGTGCAGAGAGTGAGCCTTATGGGGACAGTGCAAGACTAGACAAACATCTTTGAAACCTCTCTCTCTCATATTATTCACTCTTAAGTAATCCAAATAGAAGATAAGATCTGGAGCACTACCAGTGCCCCAACCAGTGGAATTGAGCAGCTGCATAAGAATCTGGGCTCCCATGTGAAATAGAATCTAATTGCGTGTTTGTACAGTTTGTGGCTGCAGAAGGAAGTTTGACAGCATGGCTTGACACTAAAGCTTCAGGAGCCAAGAGGCAAGTTTAGAAGGTGGTGTTCTCCATTCCTTAATCTGGCAACACTGCTGGCTGAAAACAAGTCGCTAACCCCTCCCCCTCAAGCCCTAACTCTGCTCCCAGGCTGTTGGCTCTCTGAAAAGGAACATAGGCTCTTTCACTGTTGTTTCCCAGCTGTTTTACTTCCTCACATTTTGCAATAAGGCTGGGAAATTTTCATTGAAAACTACTTTGCAGGATGTCTTATTTGTTTAACAGCCTTTAGGTTCTTGGAGTTATGTCCTTAGATTTTTACTAGGGATGGGTAGGCTGAGCAAATCTAGATGACACTGCCTGCAAATGCCAAATGCTCCCACCACTTTAAAGCCTTTGAAGCTCAGCTGAGTGCAACCTCTTGTCACAGTGACCTCCTGCACCCTTACTCCCATGCATGGGTGGGAGCTCCCAGCTCAGAGCAGGCCAACCTGTCACTCCCAGCTAAGCAGTTTGATGTGGCTTGTCACAGCCTCCCTCCCTGCTGGGAGTTGGCATTGGCAGTGCTTATGTTGATCCTGGTAAACACACCACCTCAGTGTCAGCACGCAGCATGTCTGCATTTGTTTCAGATCCCTCAATGTCAGAGGAACGCTCTTAAGAGTTGCATTAGCAGCAGAACATTCACTGGGTAGGAACTGAGTCGGCAGTGGTGAGTCTTGGATGCAGGGAGATACAGCTGCGTCTTGGCTTGAAACTCAGAGGTGGCCCCTGGCCAGGGAAGGGCAGAAATGCCCTTTTCTTGGTGCTGTTTTAATGCTAAGACAGAACTAGGATGTGATAAAATCTCAACATGTCAGTAACAAATGCTGCTGTTAGAGGGTCATTTATATATACATCTGGACTGAACCCTGCTTTCTTGAAAGTTGTCCAGAGTTCCTTGGTTATACAGTAAGATACATAAAAAAGCGCTACATGGTAGGACTATCCAGCAATCTGAAATCACAACCCCAGAGTGGCTGTATCAGCTAACCAGAGATGGGCACAATAGGGACTTGGCAGAAAGGCTGCACTTTCTAAGGAGTAGAGAGAAGCTCTGCTAGCCCTCCTTAGCTAGCTCCTGAGCCCCAGATGTTCTGTGTTTGAATCTCAACTTGTTACATTTGATATTTTTCCAGGTTTGCTGCCAAGCTGATAGAGGGCATCCTGGATTTCAAGACCATGATTGACAAGTGAGTGAGTGACCCTCCTGACTTCTCATGTGTCCTTTACTGTCATAGCAAGGCTGAGCCTAGTCAGTAAATCTCCCTTCCAAATAGAAAGGCAAGAGAAGACAGCAAATATCTGAAAAGAGATATTGTAATCAACATCACTGCTCACTGCCAAGGTCACCACCACTGGGAAAAAGCAAATTTACTTTTCTTTCTTCATGTTGTTTAACTTAATACTTTCATTGGCACGTGTATGTGCTTAGAGGGAGTGAGCCTGACTGACAGTCCTGTGGAGCTACATACTTTTGTTTGCGCACAGAACAAGTTACAGCTCAGGCAGCAGGAATTTGTTTCTCTCGTTTTGGGTTTCTGGTATTTATCATCTCCCAGCTAGACGGGATGAGCTCTGGAGAAATTTGCTCCTCCTTACTCTTTTTCTTCTGATCACCAACAAACCTCTGCTGACCATGCCTTATTTATATTCCAAAAATATGTTTACCAACACATTACCAACATCACACCTTTACATCCAAATTCAGACAAGGCTCAGGGCCAGCTGCGAGAAGGGTAGTTGGAATATGACTGCTCAAGTGATTGATTGAGTCCCAGTCTATCTAGTTCGTGAGTCATAGATAGCACATCAGACACTCACTACTCAAAATTATACCTGAAAACCTCTTTCTGCCATTTCACAGGAAACAATACATCTCCCAGTATATTGTGCCCTGGATTCTTCTCTGCAGACAGCATGGTGTATGCTAAGCTACGTAGTAGGTCCAGAGATTTATTTTTCTGGTGTTACAGAGAGGATAATGGTTTTCCCCTTCCCAAATGAAAGGCCAGCAAACAGACATTTTTTTTGTAGCCCCTACTAAGAAAGCCGGTAGCAGTAGGTAAGGACAGCCCCTTTTTTTATACCATCAGCACCAACATGTTTAGGTATTGCTGGAGTGAGTGACAGCAGCTGCATGGCTGAGCCTATGCCTGTCTTGTGTGGGGAGTGCAGGCCTTCTCACTGATCTGTTTTCTCTCCCCCTTCCTCCTTACCTTGCTGTGTCTCCAGTGAGACCCTTCCAGTGGAGTACCTGGGTGGGAAGCCCCTCTGCATGAACCAGTACTACCAGATCCTCTCATCCTGCCGCATTCCTGGGCCCAAGCGGGACTCCATTGTCAACTATGCCAAAGGCAAAAAGCAGTCCAGACACATCACAGTGGTTCACAACTTCCAGGTATGGCAGCTGCTGAGCTTTCAAGGTTTGTTTAGATGCAGGTGTCCCTTTCAGCTAGCTGTAGTCCAGAGGAAAGGGAACAATAGAAAGTCTCTGCCTGCAAGGTTTGCCTCACCAGGGATTCATTCCTGCTCCCCTTATCCCCTTTGGCTTTAGCTGGCCAATAGCTGGGATTGCTGTGTGCGAGCAACAGACTATGAGGCAGAAAAATGCTCTTGTCCTGTTTCTTGTCCCTGCAGTTCCTCTCATAGCCCAGAGATCATGTCTGGAATTGGAAATTGCAAGTGGAAATTGCATAACAAACCCTACCATCACAGCTGAGTCTCAGAAATAGGAATTCCTCATGTGTTTTGGCCCTTATTACCGTGGCTTCTGAGCTTCTTAAAACCTGGACTGTATTTATGCCCAGCAAGGGAAGTTGGACTTGGGTCTCTCAATTCTGAGCATTCTTTGAAGGTCTGCTTACAGGCTGAGTTCTTAGGTCAGGTCTTACCTTCTCAAAGTGGCTGTTCCCTGTTTCTGAGGCTGGACAATAAATATCTCTCATGTTCTGTCTCTGTCCTTGTCCACTCTTCTCACCTTCAGTTCTTTGAGCTGGATGTTTACAACAGTGATGGAAGTCCCCTTACCACTGATCAGCTCTTCATTCAGCTGGAGAAGATATGGAACACCTCCCTCCAAACAAACAAAGAACCCATTGGGATCCTCACCACCAACCACCGAAACAGCTGGGCAAAAGCCTACAATAACCTTCTGAAAGGTCTGTAGAGCCCCTAACGTGCAAGTGCTAACAACCACGAATGCTTGAACTACCAACCTCACTGCTGTGCTCTGCTCAGTTCTTTCTTTTGGAAGCTTGTTCTGGACAGAGAACATGAGCTTTCCACCTCAAAGAAGCAACCTGATTTCATTGCAAAGTATTGTTATTTTTTGTTTGGAAGGTACACAGGTGAAGTGCAAAGCTTGGTTTGTTAGACCTGAAATCCTAGAGTTTGTTGCCTTGCAAATGGGTGGGATGTAAGAAACATGAAAAAAGGAGGGTGAATGCAGCATGCTCACACCTGTAACAAACCAGCTGGCTACAATTTTAATAACTGCGTACACCTCTAAATGACCAGTACTGCATTGAGGTATAGTGGTAATCCAACACCGGGTCCTTCAAACCTGCTCTTTCAAATTTCAGTCTCCCTCCAATTAAAATGCAAGTTTTTCAACTCCCCTTCCTTATTTGCTGTTCATTTCTCTCCCAGATAAGACCAATAAGGAATCTGTGCGTACAATTGAGAAGAGCATTTGCACTGTCTGCCTTGATGCACCTATGCCACGGGTGTCTGAGGACATCTACAAGAGCCGTGTGGCTGCTCAGATGCTGCATGGTGGAGGCAGTCGCTGGAACAGTGGGAACCGATGGTTCGACAAAACTCTTCAAGTAAGTGCTGATGTTCTAAAGATCCTGAAGACATGGCTCTGGAGGAGATGCTTTCTCCTGAGACTACGAAGGTCCAAGAAGTCCCAGAAACCTGTTGCAGGAAAGTTTTCCTCGTATTAAGAGAGTGGAGAAGTAGGGGAGACAAGGTGTGGTGGCTGACAGTATGAGATCCTATGGTTTCCCTTGCAGTCACCACAAGCATTCATTCCTGCCTCAGGGACTTTTGTTTCTTTTACTGCATCTGCCCACGCTTATTCAGTGTAGTGGTTCTTTGTGTTCCTTGTAAATCAATTTTCTGCCTGCAGTGAACAATGCCGCCTCTGCTTAGAGGCAGCCCAAACGTAGGGAGGCCTGTTCCTTGTATCTCCTCTAGGCTTGTCACTTTTCCTGTTTCTGCCAGAAGCTGCCCAATGGCTTTTTGTTTTGTCTTTTCAAACATAAGCTGCCATCCCATGGCATCCATCTGATCTCTTCTCCGTTCAGTTTTGTCAAGAGCCTTCAACAGCAGCTGCTATTCAAGCTTCTCCTTCATTAGTTGGTATATCCTGGCTTGTGGATAGTAGCAGCAGTGCTTTAAAAGATTCTTCTCATATCTGCTGAATTCTTCATAATGTTTTCAGCTATTTTGTTCCTATTTGGAACTCTTCATTGATCGGATAATGCTTAGATGTTCCAGCTAACTGAAAAGTAAGGGTAAGCCAGCACATGATATTATTCCTGTATTATGTGCGCATCTAAGTAAATTAAAACCATTGAACCACTCTGTATTGCCAGGACACTGCCCACACCAATATGTCTATCAGGCACAGCACACTCTTAATCCAGTTAATTTTGCAAAACTGTAACAGTGCTGTCAGATCTTCTAAGCCTGCTGAAAGGCTTCCACTGTTGTTCTGCTAAATGAGACCTTTGTGGTACCTTTCCAGTGTGCAAGGATAGGATCACTGTCCATTCTGATACAGAGCAGTGAGATACTAACAACTCTCTGGATAGCTCCTGCTTCACACACTGGATGTCTGTCTTCAACACTGTCCTCTCATGCTTCTCTCATAGTTCATCATTGCTGAAGATGGCTCCTGTGGTCTTGTATATGAGCATGCTCCCTCAGAAGGCCCACCCATTGTCGCTCTTCTGGATCACATCGTGGAGTACACGTGAGTCCTGCCTCCTCTAATTTTTCTCAGCATTTGAGATAGGTTTTAAACCACCTGCTCCCCAAGAACATGCCTCTTCACAGCTCACCCCCTAGGAACTCGTTCTGGAGGAAGGGTAGTGGTATGCTAATTAGGTATTGCAGTTCTTGTATTTGTGATGAGAATTAAGTGGTTGAGCTACTCTGCTAAGTTTTGCTGCTGCTTCCATTCTCAGGGAATTGCACTGTTCAAACAGGACTTTTGCCTGGGAGAGGTGTTTCTTTTGGGCAGAAGGCACAGAAGACATTTCATTCATACCCTTCAAAAAACGCTGTAATGGCTCTGTGAAGAATTTTTCAGCCTCTGACTAGTGTCACAAGGTGTTAGGGAAGATCTCCTGTGCATTTCTACTCAGGTTCTGGTGTGCTTAGCTGTTCAAGGTCAGGTTAAACATAATCATTTCTCTATGCAGGAAGAAACCTGAGCTGGTAAGATCGCCCATGATTCCTTTGCCAATGCCCAAAAAGCTGCGGTTTAACATCACCCCAGAAATCAAGAATGACATAGAGAAGGCAAAGCAGAACCTCAACATGTAAGTACAAAGCAGTGGAGAGGTCTGGTGAGTGACTGAGGGAGTAATTCATGTCCCCCTTTGGAACATGACAGTGGTTTAAATGAGGCTTCCCCCACTGCAGCCAGGGAGTTTTCCCAATGACTTCTTGGGTCAACAGCATTGAACCTAGCTGAAAAGCATACTAAAGCCACCTGCTAGGAATAAAGTCAAAGGTGCTGGAAAGGGGTAATTACTGATTCATCCCATTTACTGAGAAAGAGCAAGGCTTTAGTGGATCTAACTAGGGATACTGGAGCATAAACACATATACACACACAAGCCCATATAACCTGGTGAAGATTTTCAGCAGTGGCCAGAAAAAGCTCATCTCTGTGGTGCTGCCCAAACAAATCTGTGTGTGATGGAGCGCCCTGTCCCTGCGTAGGTCAGATCCAGATAGCATGTTCTCTCTGAGCCTTGTGAAAGCAAATCCATACCTTTATGTTACAAGAACAAGCAACAGACAAAGGAACACTTCCTCTTTCTTTCTTTGCAGAATGGTCGAAGACCTGGATGTCAAAGTCATGGTCTTTCATCAATTTGGGAAAAACTTCCCCAAGTCAGAGAAGATAAGTCCTGATGCCTTTATCCAGCTAGCCTTGCAGCTAGCATATTACAGGTAAGACCACCAATAGGTAGCTTCTCAACCTGTTCACCATCAGACTCCAATATGTAAGCTTGATAAAGGTGGCAGAGACAAGTCTCTCGCAGGCTGCTATGGCCTGCTTTCTAAGAAGTCCCACGTTTTCCCCATGCACTGGGACTGAACAGCAGACTTTACTTGTGGCAACTGCCAAGCAACAGGTGAGATCTACCCTTCTGTATGTGTACAGTCCTAGTAAGGAAGCATCAGAGGTCAGCTGTCAGTGGGACTCACTCCCGTAAAGTCTTCCCCTTCCCTGCAGTTCTGCTTCACAAGAGGCCATTTCTCCCAGGGCAAACTCACTTCTGTGACTTTCTTCTCCATCTTCCAGGATGTACGGCCACGTTTGTGCCACATACGAGAGTGCATCGCTAAGGATGTTCCGCCTGGGCCGCACAGACACCATCCGCTCGACTTCTGTAGAATCTCTTAAGTTTGTGCAATCAATGGACAGCCCTGACAAATCGGTGAGGATCCTAAAGAAGTGGAGTAAAAGGACTCCACTCCAGAAAAAGAGGAAAGCTGCTTATTTGGCTAACCCTGTGTCAGCTGCTTTCAGCTAAGCAAAACTGCACCTGATATGAAGTTGAGCTAAAACATTGCTTGGAGTGTATAGTCACGCACCTTGGGTTTAATTTGGCTTTACTTTCACATGTATTGAAAGCCTGGGAAACAACACATGGACATTTCTAATCCCACCAAAAAGAAGTAATGTCCCTTCTAGAAGTCTGTTTAGCTACTCAAACTAAGTTTTGCTACTGATGGATGGAGAACTCCATTCAGAATGAAGTAACACAGCCAACAAAATGATTTAAAAATTAAATCTAGTAAATCTAAAAATTAGTCTAGGATAGACACACAAGGCAGAAATGCCCTCCATCCTAGAGGAACAGCCAAAATGAGGTTTTCCGTTCTGCAGAAAAACTTACAGACAGATCTGTGTGTTCTCAGGACCAGGAGAAGGCAGACTTGCTGAGGAGAGCTACGCAGGCCCACAGGCAATACACTGATATGGTGAGTGCCCTCTATGCAGCCAGACTTGGGGTTTTACCTAGCAAATAAGGGTTCTGGTGAAAGTCAAGACCTGAAGAGTTTTCTCTGCTGACATAGCAATGTGGCTGTTAGTGCTGTTGCATAGGTCTAACTGATCTGACAGTGTTCTAGGCCACAGACTGAATCCTTTCTCCCTAGCTAGTGGTTTAAGTGTACCTTGTGACTGACCGAAAGGAGGGAATCAAATATGAAAATAGCTTCAGTACTCACTGTCATTGTTGCTGATAAATGCCAAAGTTGCATGAGGACCCCTTAAACCACAGGGAGCCCATAGGCAGGAACTGGTAAGGTTGGTTCCACTGGTATGTTTAATTTCACAGTCCTTACAAGCAAGACGGACTATTGGTCCTAAAGGCAAAATCTAGTTTCCTTCTAATTTTAAACATTTAAAGATTTTTAGAAGTGTTCTTTTCTTTAACCCAAAGAAATTGATAGTTTTGCTCGCTTGCCTGCTAGACAGGCTTTCATCTAGTCTTCCTTCCTTACAGGCAATAAGGGGCAATGCAATAGACCGCCACCTCTTAGGCTTGAAGCTTCAAGCTATTGAGGACCTAGTGAGCATGCCTGAACTGTTCATGGACACAGCATACGCTGTTGCAATGCACTTCAATCTCTCAACCAGCCAGGTAGGACTCATCCAAGCAAAGACAGAAGTGCTTTCTTTGTTTCTTTTCATTGCCCTTCTTGTCCACATTTCTCCTTCGTTCCCTTATGTTAGAAACTAATCTTCATTTGGGGAGAGAAATTTTTAAGGCTTCTACCAATTCCATAAAGCTGCAGATATGATCTTACAGCTGCTACAGTCCCTCTCAACCCTGTAAAAAACCAAACCAAAACAAAAAAACCCAACAAAACCCTAGCATAACCAAAACGAAGATCACCAAAAGTGCTTGGTATCTAAATGCAAGTGAGATCAATTGAAGTTAACTGCCAGAATAGCTTTATGTCCATCTGCTGTGCTGTGATTTTTACCAATAGAGTTCTGTTAGTGACCTATTACAAGCTTATCTTGGGGACAAGTACTCCTTTGCAAATGAATAGGAAAACACTTCGCTACTAAATGGTGGAATCCAGCATGCATGTGGTGGTAGGTTGAGTCTGACCAAAAAGGCCCTCTTCTAGATCATTTTAATGAGATGGCAGTTTCTTCTACTGTTGACAGAGCTGTTAGCATTTGATGGCTACATTTCTCTCCGGTTAGAAGTTTTTAATCGCATTGTCTCCACAGGTCCCAGCAAAGACAGACTGCGTGATGTGTTTTGGTCCCGTGGTTCCAGATGGCTATGGAATCTGTTACAACCCTATGGATGAACACATCAACTTCGCAATTTCAGCATTCAACAGCTGTGCTGACACAAATGCAGCCCGCATGGCACATTATCTTGAGAAAGCACTGCTAGACATGAGGATCTTGCTCCAGTCCACTCCCAAATCCAAACTGTAAGAGGCAAACATGATGCAAAACCCCCAACTAAAGGGGCTATCCCTCATGCACTGAAGTTCCCAGTTCCTCAGAAAATGATTGAGGGAACAGCTTGCCCTGGAACCTAGGAGGGCATCTACCATTTGTTTTCAGCAAGAGGTTACAGAATAGTCACCTGCAGATATTGGACTCTGTGGTGAGAGGAAACACTGTCTTAAGCTGAAGTAGAACTGACTGGTCCTCTCCCATCAATGCAAAGTACACCATCCTGTCCTCAAAGAGGACTGAAATATGATTTTTATGGAACTTACTGTAAAGGAATACAGAAAGCACGCTCCTTATCAGTATCTAAATCCATTTGGTGGGGAAGGTAGCTCTCCTCCAGGAAAAGCAGGGAATGTTTATTATAATGATGGAACTACTGTAAGACCAAGTCTTTTTGCTGGTTTCATCTTCTGAAGAGTACAGCGTCTTTCAGAATTGACAGAAGATTTTTCTGCTGCTCCAGCAAAACTTCACCATTGAAATTTGGCAAGGGGAGAAAGAAGTTCTTAAGTCAGAGCAGATCCAGTCGTGTTAGAGTGCGCTGCACTACTTATCCCAGGCACTCCAACCACTACCTGCTTTACAGGCCTAGGAATGTTCCCCTCGTTTTAGGATGCTGGGTTCTCCTTTCTGTTGCACTGACCCTATTAACAACAAAATATCATTTGCTACAAAGTAAGGTGGTTTTTTTGTTGTTGTTTTGGGCTTTGTTAAGCTTGCTGTTGTGGTCCTAGCCATTGATCTTCAGGCTCAGCATAAAGCTTTTTTTCCCCACAAAGTTTCTACAAAACTTCTCTCACACAGGTTTTGCTAGCTTTGGCTTTATGTATGTTAACATTTGTGGAGATGAGAAGGGATTGCCTATGCATTTAGCAGAACACTTGCTTCATTGTCCCTTTCTTTGGAATTGAGGAAAAGAAAAAGATGCTGACCTCCTGTTTACTAGCCAGAAGGCCACATGCCTAGCCTCCTTCAGGGCACACATGTGAACCTAATGTGATTTTATACCTTACCTTCAGAAACAACATATTTGTGCATAATGTGTTATGCCTAAGTTGTGGACAAATAAGAATGTTTCTGATCAGGAACTCCAGAACATACTTCCATTTCTAGCTCACAGAGTTAAAATCTGTTAGAGTCAAAGGAAAAGCAGCTGCAGAATCACCCTTCTTTCACATCACTCTGCTTTAACAAGGCAGAAAATCTTGAAAAGCAGGAAGAAAGCTGAGAACATGTGGGCAGTGTATATGTTTGTGCACTGTGGCAGCCATTGTTCCTGCAGTTAGCAGTACAGCACCTTTTCTGCCACTCTTTGGAGTTTTTTCTTCCTGCAGTGTTACTTAGATTTGTGCCAGCTCTATTCTGTGAGAGAATGATCTCATGATAGTGTTTTCATGTTCAGCTGACGAACTTGAGACAGTAAAAGATTATATATAATTAACATACAAGTGTAGCATAGGAATTTTTGTAAGCACTACTTCCAATGAATCTGCCAGAATCCAAGCTCCTGACTCTACTTTTATTTAGTAAAACTGTATGGTAATGAATTCTAGTGCTATTTCTGCAGCAGGAATTTAGTATTTGAATTATACACCATTCAAGATGTGGCTGCTGGGACATCACCATAAACAAGAAGCATTAGGAGTCTGATGGCCTGTTTTGTTACCAGGGAAATACTTGATCGCAATTGCTACTTTTTTGATCATATAACAGCAAGGGACATGATCAAAGTGCCTTGGTGAACATATATGAAGAAGTTTGCACTAAACCTGTTTAAAGAAAAAAAAAATCATTCTAATTTGCTTCTTGAAAGACACAAGCCAACACTACTGCATTTTTTCCTAAAAGGATGTTATTTCAAAGCTTCTTATACCTAAATAAACCTTAAAGGAAAATTTAACTGAAACTCACCTGCACAGCCAGTGATTGTATGAACTGCCACTTTCGCATCATCTACATGGATTTAGTTGATCTTTTAGAAGAATCCTGAATGGAGTGAGATAATCTAAAAAAAACCAATAGGAGCACTACAAACCTGCAAGCACACATCCCTGCTCTGTTGACTCCTCTGTATGAATTGGACTGAAAACTGCAAGAGGATACTCAGTATTATCAAAGTGTAAGTGATTGTGTAAATACTACATAAAAGACCAAACCTTGCTGGAATAACATCTGGGTTCATGGAGCCTTTTACATTGAAAAAATATTCCTTTTGCCAAAGTAACCCTCCCCCCATACTGAATCAACCTCTGTTGCTAGGGGATGAGTTATTTCTCCCTGTCTGCAATGCCTTCAACCACTGATGCTACAGTATTGCCACTTAAGTATTTGAGACTGGCCCTTTTCTACTGCTGTCTCATCAAAGGGGAAGGCTCTCAAAGGAAAGTGCCTATTAAAGATTAAGCAGAAGTATGCACTGCTGTGACTGTATCTCAGAAGATGGGAGTGATCTATTCTGGATATCCCACTAGCTTCAGCAGAATACAGCTGCAAGAAGCAGACTATCACACTGAAAGAGATACAAGATTCACAAACCACTTAATGCATCCTTAATGATACACGGAACTGAAATTCAGATGAATGAAGCTGATTTGAAGTGCTTGAAAGGACACTAAAATCATTACAAGGTTTCTCCTTTAAAAAGTCTTTTTGTACAAGTTCTAAAATGTGATGTCCTTCTGATTCATACCTTCTTGATTTTTTTGCTGTTGACTTACTGAATACTATTCTCCTCCCTGTTTCTGATTGTCTGATCGTTTGATCAAGAGATGTCCATTGTCTTAAAGGCACATTAAGTACAAGAAACTTCAGATCCAGAAAAACCACCGATTTGGAACAAATAATTTAAGAAATGCATAGACTGAAAATATTCAGATAACTCTTGGGGTATGAGTGCAATTTATGACACAGCCTGGTAGTGTTGCATGCTTTGCTGGTTAGCTGTGTTAAATACTGTTTTGGTAGTGTAATCCATGTCATGCAAAGTTTTGAAATGTTCTTTGAATAAACTGAAACATAATAAACAGTAAGTGCTACAAAAATGCTTAAATCTCCTCAAACACTGCAGAAGTTACATAACTACCCTTATAGGAGGATGTTTGTGTGGGGACAGCAAGAACAGTGAACCACAGCATTCTGTCACCTTCCTTTTATTGTCTTAGTATCTCCATCCAGCCCCCTTGAGTACAGGGGAGGAATAGAAAGCATTTGCTTGCAAAGCCACATATTCCAAAGAAAATATTCCATTTCAGAAAACTAGTGGCAGGAGACTTCATACAAGTGTAGGATAATAAGGCAGAGCTCAAATCTTTTTCCTGCACAGCACCATTTAGTTAAGAAAATCCATGGGATCACTAAGGAATTTCTACTATATCAAGTATTGCAAAAATTTCTGGAAAGGTACATCAAAAGTAGGCAGAAGATGCAGATTACAAACAACTCACAGAGAACAGAGGAGAGTTTATTACAGTGTCTTACAAGAGCTCTTCTTCCTCTCCCTTACTCCTAAAAATTACTGTAGGAAGCTTGGGTTTGAAGGCAACATGAAGTGGAACAGCTTTTTACACTACACTGCTCTCCATGAGGAGATGAAACCTCTTCCCTATGCTCTAGTTCTCAGTAGGTGTTTCCACATATAGTTTTTCCATCAGTCTGTCATAACAGCCTAAGAGAGGCTAGGGAAGTGCTAGCCACTCTTGAAACAATCCACTCTTTCAACCTTGTCCTTGGGGAAGAGAGTTGTGATCTCCCTTCTGGCTTTGTAAGTTAACTTACAAGAGATATAAAGAGAAAACAAATGGTTTTGCAAGACATAAGTGATTAGTACCAGCTTTCAAACTGAAACATATGGTACCACCATGTCATGTGGCCTATCTGATGTCCTGTCTCATTTTAATAGAGCTGTTCTAAGTCAGATCAAATGCCCTTGTGAAAGCTGCAAGATGCCTCTTTATTCTGATGCACCTTCAAAGCAGATCCAGTGCTCAGGTCATTCAGTTGTTAACAGGATTGCTCATGTTATGCAAATACTAAACAGTTCTTAAAAAAAATATTGCTGTAACAACTGAAAACAGTTAGTTTACTACCCATAGCTACTTTAACACAGAAATTTAAAACAGCCTTCATTCCTGATCTCCTAGATCAGGATCACTGCTTTCTACAGTTAACACTCCAGTTGTCCAACAGTTTCTACAGCAGCTCCCACTCCATACAAACACACAAACTCCTATGGCAACAGGCACAGATGAAAACTCAAAAAAATAAAAATAATCAAGATGAACAGAAACACATCTCACTTCAAGCAGCTTTATAATGCAGGAGTCTGATTAAAGTGGAGATAATAAAACAGGCAGCAAGACTGAGATGTGACAGTCATTTTACCTCTGCTCACATGACTGCATCAAAGGCACACCGATGACCTTTGAGCCAGTTCAGAAGCTGTCCTTTATCTGTGAAAGTTCAAGTCAATTGTGCTTTGAATAAATACTTCTCTATAGTTACACTTGAACTGCTGCATTATGTACTAGAAATACAGAAAGTGTCCATGCACAGCCCTGAAGCACTTTTGAGTATAGCCCTTGCCAGGTTAACTCATGGATGACAGAAGTTGTGGGCATCACCAGCACACACAGATGGCAGGCACACTCCCACAGAGACACAGCATCCAGAGAGCTGACTGGCCAAACAAAGAATCGGAACAGAAGAAGGATGGAAAGCAAAACTTGCTTGTAGGAGTTCGGCATTCAAGGTTACTACTGCAGAACCCCGACCAAGCCACTGTAATAACTGGTAGGAGTCTCGTGCTAGGACAAGCTCACTACTTGAGTTCACAGTTGGATTCTAACAGGACTCTTCAAGAAATATTTCAGACAGCAGCTGAGCTAGTTATTAATCATTCACCTTGTTATTAATTTATGGTTGTCACTTTGTTCATTCTTAAAAATCCCTCCCTTAATCTTTAACAGGAAAAAAAAAAATTTAAAATCCAGTGCTTAAGACAGAGACTAGCAACTGAATTTTGTAAGGCTTTGGGCTGACTCTTACTGGAGCACAGCACTGCTTATAACCAATGGGCTTTCTAGTGCCATCGGTAGCCCACTCAGTACAACAGAAGCTGTACAGATCACAGCAACCCTGAGGTAATAAAAGTATAAAGGAAGAGATGGAATAAATGTGAGATATGTATGATAATCTTGCCACCTAGAAGAGATTCTGAGAAAGACACTCTTGCTAATTACACAACAGGAGCAGCAGTGGAAAAAAAAATAATAGTATATTTCAGTTTTTCCTTTGTTTTACACACACACTCCCCTTAATGGTATCCGTGCAGGCTTCCCTGCAGAACCATCACTAGTGTTAAAAATCAGATCCTTAGTCTTTCTTTCTATCTGTACAAAGTGCAGTTGGAATTGATTTTGATCTCCCAAACTGGCTGCAGAAAGGACAAAAAGTCTTCCTTCCCTTTCTGCCTAGGTCAACCCATCCTAGTTCCCCTCCATCCTAAGAAGTTTTTAAAAATTAGAAGCCCTAATTAAGCATGATCAACTTGAGATTAGTTTTGTCGTCTTCTTCCAAAAAGAAAAACCCAAACAAAAAACAAAAACAAAACACACAATCAATGCCTCACCCACCCCCAAAAACAATAGTTCCATTTAAAAAAATAAATAAATAGTGTGTATATTTCATGCTAAAAAAAAAAGTCACAGAAAGGATTCATTTTTGGTTTTCCCTCCCCCAAACATGACACCAGGCATTTTCTCCCCCCTCCCCTGACGTAGACATGATGGTACATTCCAACCGGCAATGTGCATCTGTGTTGAAAATGAGTTTCTACTCCTGCACGGTCCCACATGCATCAGGGAGCATCCAGCTAGCTGCTAAAGCAGAGCAAAGGCTTTCAGGTTTTGGGTATGGTCCCTGCCTGTTCCTTTGGTCCGTCTGTTAAAAGGCTCCTTGCTGCTCCCAGGTCTCTGCTCTTGTCTGTCTCTGTTAAAACGTGCACTCAGGTCCCCACACTTCTTGAGTCACTGGAGCTTCGTACCCAGCTTGCGCTGTCTGTTTCTGCAATGGCAACACAGAGGGCAAGGTGAGAGAGGCGGCCCCAACCCTATTGCAGGGTATCACAGCAAACCAGTGGGTAAAATACAGGAGGATTAAAGTAAGGCTCTGCTTAGCTCCACACAAAAATAAAGCTGCCCTCTCCATACTCTACAGGGACATCAGTCCTTTCTACTCTTTACAGTTCTACAACATCCACTGGGCCTTAAGTGTGCACAAGCTCACATGTGAATGCAAGATTATGAACAACTGCTTGCAAAGAACACGGGCTAGGGAGCTGAAATACTGCTTAAATGCCATATTCTTTACTCTCACATTCCGCAACACTCGCCTTCCAGATGCAGTAGTTAACACACAACTTCATATTTCTTTACTCTGCACTATTCTACACACAGCAGCTATCTACATATCAGAAAAATAACTACATCTGACAAGTCAAACCAGCTACAGCTCCTCCACCCCCCAATAAAACTTACCTTGCCTCTGCTCTCGTGACTGTGTATTCAAACCACAGGATGTTAGGAATGAGGCTGGTATCTCGGATTAAAAAGAACTCTGAAATTGGCCTGGAAACGGACAAGAAGGTGGAAAGGGGGAAATAATTAGACTTTTTCTCCACCACAATTCTGATTAAAAAAAAAAGGGGGGGGGGGGGCACAAAAACTCCTCCAGACTTAACAATACTATTCTATTACCCTTCAGGCTGGCAAAAGGGCTCCTTGTTAAATTTAATCAAAAAACTCCTTTTTTCTTTCCTTATACAATGTTTCCAGACTATCTTACATTTAAATGGCTTTGCAATTTCACCAGGTCATCAGATGTTCATTAAGAAAGATCAGTTCTGCATGAAAAGCTTCTCCAGCACTCTGCCACACCTCAACTTTAATAGGGCTTTACAAACTAACAGTTGCTTACGCTTCCTCTCTCACCCACCTGTATCAGGCAAGGATATGTATGGAGGAACAAGTAGGTTACACAACAGTCAGTATGCAAAATTGGAACAGAACCCAGGAATTCTCATTTCTAACATCTGTTACTTAGGTGGATCACAGAAGTTTGAGCAGCCCATTTACAGTCAGGGCTTGCACAGCTACAACTAAAATTTAGAGACTGAAGTATCTTTACATTTGTTTTACTTCAGATGCAAGGTACAATTTTTACACTGATTGATTAGGAAAATTTTCTTTTACTAGGTAATTCTACTACACCTGTGTTACCAACTCATTGCAAATAACTCATTTAATGAGCAAAACAGCAATCCACACAATGCAGACTTGCAGGAATAAAACCTCAACAGAATAAACAGACTTACCACGCAGCTATCCTTGGGAAGAGAGGGGTTAATATCTCTTGTGTGAAGGCAAACCAGGCTATGGCCATAATGCTTCCTGCCACACCTCCATATAAGACTTGGCTCCAGGTGTGATAAAGCAAATAAACCCTGCAGTGGAAGAGAAGAGTCACCAGACAGGCTTTAAAACAAGAGGAGGCATGACTCAAGGACTGGTGTTTCACTGGACCCTCAGATGTCCTGAGCAAGTTATCCTCCAGATGTTAGAAGTGGCTATCTTACTTTTTTCACTAAAAAGCTGGCAAAAAAAAAAGTGGGGAAAAACTTGGAAAAACTGTCTTCCCTGCTACAGCAGTTTTAGCTTAGAGCACTTCTAGTTTGAGCTTAAATCAATAACCCTCCACACTCTCTCATATATCTTTGGATTAGCTGAGGAACTATTACTGTTGGTTCCCACGAGACTTTTCCAAAGCCAGTAACAGGACAAGTTCCCCCCCCCACCCCCGCGCCACCAAAGCTGTAGCTTAAAGGCTTTTAAGAACATAAACAGCATTTTTGTTACGATTTTGCTGCTCTCAAAAGTGAGAGCAAGAAGGCTGCACTACCACAGCATGCTTACTGTGATTGCACCCATTCAGAAAGCTGTATTAATGGTCTGTTAAGTTATCCACACGAGCCACGTTCAAAATTCTTTTCACCCATGTATCATAAAGCCACTAAGATCATCTTATCTGACCCTCTGCCTAGCACAGGCCACTGGATTTCCTCAAATTAATTTATGTGAATTAGACCATGTATCTCTTATGAAATTGTCCTGTCAATTTTTAAAATAACCAGTAATAAGGAATCATCTCTACTGTACAGTCAACTGTGCCAACAGGTAATTACTTTCCTGTGGAAAACACAGCCTTATTTTTTCTAGCCTGAATTTGTCTGGTTTCCAATCACTGGAGCTCATTTTATATATGCGTGTGTGGTTTGTTTTGTTTTGTTTTTTTAAATCTACTAAACAGAAAAAAATTATTATCAAAGTTTCATTTTCTTTATTCATCTTAATACAACTAAATCTTCCAAGTCAAACAGCTATAAATGTTTTTATTAACTAATGCTCAAGCAAAACAGACTGATCAACTGTAGCAATCCACATGCTGCAGATGCTGGTGTGCCAAGGCATGGTGCAATGCTTTCATTAGTGCTGGAAAGAGGGCAAGGCAGTGAGGCTAGAGCATGGCAATGGAACTGATGGGGAACTGGTACAAGCTCAGCTGATCTTGGTTTTTATAAATGCTTCTGTGAAGCACCACACATGTAGAACCTTTGCTTATTTGAAGGGTCTGATTGGCAACACAGCAACTTCCACAAAGCTCTGACTTGTGCAATGCAGTCATCAAGAATTAGATCAGAAATGCAGGATAAGGAATGACAGGTCTGCTGGCTGTTAAAGGCCACAGGACTGTATGAGAGCATAAGACAAACAATTGCTCCATACCTACTATATGAGACTAGCAAAGCCACTGTGACGAGGCAGATGGACAGCACATGTCGCCATAGTAAATCCAGAAACCTCGCATTGTTTGTTTGGTGCATTCTGAAAGAGATGGAGAGCCATTAGCACAGTGGCAGGGAGCTGAGCAGTCCCTATCTCTGTTCTCACTATCTCTGAAACCCTAGGAAAGGTCTACTCCAGTGGGGTCATGGGCAGCTCGATACCATCCCAGCAGCAATCTGTCCCACTGGCAGCATTTAAAGAGAAGCCAAAAAGCCACACTTCTCTCTCTCCAACTGTTAACAAGGATTGCTGTGATGGAAGGCAGAATGCTCACAATTACTGCAACTGATGTGAAAGGCACATGCTGAGCATATGCAACAGGGAGCCAAGACATCAGAGTCCCTCCATCATCCACAAAGCTAAGAGGAACTGTGAGTTTTGTCTTCCTCCACACGTGGAGCCACAAGACAGAGCCATGCCCCAGCAAGAATTTCAGAAAAGCACAGCACAGCATGTAAAACCAGTACTTGGTAAGGGAGATGAACTAAAAGGTCATGCAAGTGGGCAACAGTTATTACCTAAAAGATCCCAGACAACCCCACTGACAAAACTGAGTAGACACATGAGAAAGCAGCTCTTCTTTCCTCCTCCCTATTCCCCCCCCACCTTCCCTCACACTAGCAGATCATCACAGTTTAGAAAAAGCAAATCAGGAGACCTGTACCCAGACAGGTGTAGGAGGCCCACCCATACCCTTCAGTTTTCAGCAATGGTAACTACAGTCCTACATTCAGGTTGAGACAGACATGCTTCATCCACCCTAGCCACAGTAAATTGTGTAGTTCCTCAGATTTAATACCATTATGCCACTGAAGTGGCACACAGCAAGGGAGCCATCTACTTCAGGTGTTTCAACATATTAACAGCCAAAACCTGACATTGAATTTTTACCTTAAATAAAGGAACAGAAAGGAATAGACAGAGAAAAACCACATGAATTGGGAGTGGCTGGACGGCATCCCATATTTTGTGGTCACTGTTGAATGGGCTTCTGGGAAGAGAAGAAGAAAGAGTATGGTCAAGGTCTACTCTATACATAGCAGCTGGAACGCTCCAGATGTGAAGCCAGACCACTCTGCTGGAGTATGTGCACATGAGTTCACAGGACATGTCTCTGCTCAGATGGCTCTGCCAGCCTTCTTACACCCAAACATCCAAAGCCAACATGAGGCAAAGGGGAAAACGCCCTCTAACCCCCCACAGTTAGCATTCCACTCAAAACTCAACTGACATCATGACACCAATAGGCCATACCATACCTTCGCAGGGCCGAGGCTCCCGGATTACATTTTTTATTAACCAGTTCACTCCCTCGTTGAATGCCAGCCCTCCCAAGAAAGAGATCTGTGAAGGCAAGACAACTGTGTCATCCTATCTAAAAGATTCATCTACTTACCAGGCACTCTGTTGACAAAGCCCCAACCCATGTTTCTAAATTTTTTTGACTGCTAGAGTTAAAACCAATAGCTTCAAAATCCTCTACCTGAGGAAGAAAAGCAATTTTTTCAGCCCACTTTGTGTATTTGGCAACACATTGTGTATATGCAGCTTTTCAGCAGATGATACACAGAAAGAGATGAAGATGACACTGTATAGCAATTTTGTTAGCATACTTCCACCAGCAAGTGTAGAAGTTGCATTTTTTTAACAGGGCAGGTTTTAAGGGATTGCCTTTCCCCGACGACCAACAGGGGGAGTGCATGCACTGTTATCTGTGTAAATAGCTTTTAAAAAGGTGACTTTTTAGGCTTTCTGGCTTTGTCCTCTATGAATATTTTCATCTTGAAGTTGCTGTCTTCAGTCTAAAATGAAGTCACATTCTGAGCTGAGCCAGACTGGTAGCATTTATTTTTACTCTTTAATTCCATAGTCCATACACCTCCCCTAAATTAGTCCTGCTGCTGTGATCAAATTCCCAGCTGGTGATGATAATCTGCCTCCTTAACACTCAGTCCCATTCCAGATGATGAAGCAATTTTACACTATGTCCTGAGCTATGGGTTAAGCTGCTGCAAGCCAGCTAGCCTCTGTCCAGCTCAGTGGTGACTTCCCACATAAAGAACTGGGAATCAGCCTCAACACTTGTGTCGTTAACAACACCTAACAAGCCCCTGTATTCAGAAACCTATGAATTTGTGCAATAGTTACTCTAGCTTATTGTCTGTTTTGGATCAACACGAAACCTTTGGGTTGCCAAAACTTAACAGCTGTCTCTCCTAGCTAGCATTGGCTTAATAAACTAGAAGCCCCATTCCCAGGTCCCTTGAGCCACTGGTTCCCATGACACCATGGCCCGATATTAGAAATCTGCTGCCAAAATCCTGTCACTGGCCCCTATTTTATCTGTATACTGAGGGCAAATGTTACAAGAGGTTTATACCTCCTACAGGGAATTTATCCGTGACACTGATTCCCAACTACCTGCCACAGCAGACAGAAAGCATTATGTATTACAAAAAAGTCCCTTGTTGGTCATTTGGACAGAAGCAAGTCTCTTCTGTCCCTGGTATTCAATTCACAGCTGGGAAGCAGCCCTTCTAGATAGATCCACTCCTTTGGGAATCTGTAGGTTTTGTTTTGTATCCCCTTTTCTGCCTCAGTAGTTCAAAGAAAGCACATCCTACTGAGTTTCAGATGCCATCTCCTGCATATGCTGCCCATCTTGCAGGAACCTACTAGTACTACGATCCTACTGCATCTTGGGCGTGTTCCCACTTTGCAACAGCATTCCTTAGTTCCTCAAACATCTCCCTTGATGGTTTTGGACAGATAATGCCCAAAACATACCACAGAGTAACAGAAAAGTCAGCAAAGGCTAAGCAGTCTTTTAACCTGGTACAGGTGATAAGTGTCTCCTGCTGTTCTTTAACAGGAAGATCACCTTACCTAAGCTTGCTCTTTAAAGAGAGAAAAAGAAGTGTGAATACAGGAGGACCAGGTGACAAAGGAAAATACTTTTGTCATAAGGAGAAGCTGGGAAGGGAGAGAAGGACTCACCGTGTGAAGCTCTCTCTTGAATATGATGAGTGTTACAAAGCCAACAATAATGAATATTGGACCAAGACTCAAATAAGCTAAAAGCTGACCAGAGAAATCACCTAGGGAAACAAACAAGAGAAACAAATCAGTTTGAACTTCACAGGTAATTGCCAGCCACCAGAGCATGGGTCAGTTGGTGCCCTGAATCACTGAGAGCAGAGGGGCAAACTCAGCACTGCAGCAAGTCTCCATTTTGCAGACTACTGCTGCTCCAGCTCAAGAGGAGCAGAGGCAAGGAAGACAGCAGTGCTTACATGCAGATTCAAAAGCAGGGATGAGAGGAGCTTGGCATCGTTCAGCAGAGATTACTGCCAGCCAATTTACAACAATGACCATGGGTGTGGGCCCAGAGTCACTTTAATCCAACATAAGCACAGGCTGCTGCAAAAGAGGCAGCGTCTTTCCCTCCCCCTCATTCATATTGCCTCCCTGTGCCAGCAATTACCAGCAAACACTCCCCAAACAAATCCTTTCCCACTCCCTCACTAAAATGGGTTAGTTTTCAGCTGGATCAGCTCCCTAATCTGTCTCACCATGTGTCTGCACAAACACTAGCATTAGCAAAATGGGGAAGAAATAAATAGCTAAACATAGCGGAAGATAAAGGGAAAAAAAGGAGACTACTTTTTAACCAGTAGCCCACTTGTATCACACAGAAGTGACTTTGGGCCTCCACCCCAAATCGCTAACAATCTAGTTATCCCCAAGGGAGAATTGGGGAGCAGCAATGGGACCTCACAAGAGGTCATAAGGTACCTCAAAACCTTTATCTTGAACTACCACACAGAAGTAGACAACAGCAAAGAGCAACTATGTATTTTGATCTAAGTTTCTCTTGCCTCAGTTCCCTGAAAAAGGACACATACAAAAGTATTTGGGAAGAAGATGTCAGCATAAATTCTGAGGAAACAAAAAAGTATCAGAGTAATTTTGCTCCAAGATCAGCAATTCACATCAGGAGAGTGAGAACTATCTACCAGAGAATCTTTAAAGACAGTAGTCACTACAAAAATGTGATATGAACCCAGTGAGCAACTTAAGAGACAGGGTACTTTCTATATTGGTTCTCAGAGACTAGATCTTCACCATCCCATCAGTGAACACAAAAGGATCAGCCCCCACATAAATTTATCCTTCCTCCCTCCCCTCAAAAGGAAACAGGATGCCTCTGCAAGGCTGAGCATTGGACTCATTCCTAGATCAATTCCACTGCGAGATACTGAGTCTCCCCAGCCCACACACCCACATTTTAAAACTGCACTTGGCAAAATGGACTTTAACCTCAGCCTCTGAATATTGGAACTGATTAAAAAAAGTAGTTATTGCACTGCTACAAAGTTCATGCTGCTGATGTTATTGCCACATATTTGTGGTTACATCAGGTACAGTGCACAGATCCCTCTTGAATTCCAGACTCTGGGTTAGATTTGGGAACCAGCAAAGTCATCAGCAAGGATTACTTGCAGTTTTAGTTTGCACCACCAGTGAAATTAGGAAGAGTTAGAGGACAAAACCCCCAAGAATACTGGGTTTTCACTTAAGTGAGGTTCTATTTTGGTTTTAACCTGAAAAGCATTAGAAGACACTGAATTTGAAACTTTTCTTGCACCATATCGCAGGTTTGCCTTGCATGAGGTGGGTTCCAAATGCTCCCAAAGCAGAACAGTATTATGGTAACACAAAGTGGAGATAAGTGACAGTATCAGTTACCTGGCAATAGAGAATCAAGCCCCTTATGGTTTTACATAAATCACAAACTCTCAACAACATGAATCCTTTCTTAAATAAGAGAATTCATGAGACAAGACACCAGACAATCAAAACTATCCTGAAAGCTTTAGGAATACTTTCCAGTAGTCTCAATTCCAGTGTTACCAGCTGAAGATACCTCATCATCAAGGAATCACCATGTTTCAGATCATTCACTCTGTTAATCCATGGTACATAAAGGCTTAGCACTTCAAGACTAAATGCCGTAATTTTGTCAAGTAGAAACCAAAAGAGATTATTTACCTTCTCAGGGGGGTTCTATTTCTTGTGCAGATGGTAGAAGAATACCTAAGAAAGTAGTCTTTTAACCTAAATAGCATCAGTAGTACCAAACTCAAGATCCTTCATTATGTTACATGATAACATACCCAATAAATTAAGCCACCCAGACTTCACCAGCACACAACCCACACTTGAACCTGAGGCAAAGAACCAAAAACCATCGCTTGATACTCTGCTTGCAGGCAGCATCTGCAAGTCCTTTACTCAGACAATCTTAACACAATAGCTCCCCAAACATTTAAAGTGGCCATTTAAAATGGAACAGAGATAGCACTAATAATATTTCATATTACTGTGGCTAACAGGAATCAAACAGAATCACATTCTGAAGCCACTTTTTCTAGAGGCGGCAGCAAATAAATAGCTGTGCGCTAACCGAAGGTGGCACTTTTGCTATGCCCTGGGAGCTACACCAGGAACTCACTAATGCCATCATAAATGTACCTGCTAGATTAGCGGTTCAAGGCAGACCTGCATTAACTAAACCAGCTCCAAAATGACTGGAAACCCCCAGTGAAGAAGGCAAAGCAAGCTCTGAGAGAAAGGCAAGCGCTGATCACCACACAGCACTCCCAGGGCCTCAGAGCGTGATTACTTGTGTCACTCCTATCTACTCTCACGCCCCAGTGCGCTTGGAGACTTATTCCCAGGGAAAGGGGACTTGCAGCAGAGCCGACAGTTCGAAGTTCAGTCAGATCTAGCAAGCAGGTCCCACCCTCTATCTTTTTATAATTTTTTTTTTTCATTTTACTAAACTGGGGAATTTTAAAGCAATTTAAAATTTAATTTTTAACTTTAAAATTTAAAGCAATTCCTCCAATCAGTAAGAACAGAGACAAAACCTCTGGGAAAATGCAAGAAGAAAGTCTATTTAATATATAGCTTGGGCTTTGTTTTGTTTTAAATTCTGCTTTTTTAAAGTCCAGCCTTCCCTGGACATCATTTGGGGCTCAAGAGGCAAAAATAAAGAACCCACTACCTCATTTTTAGGCCCCCAAGAGATAAATAGGTAAAACACTCTACATAGCTCAGAAGCATGCTATTTTTTTCAGCCTTCATTCAGCATCTACTTCTGCTCCAATTCAACATTTTACCCAGCATTCTTTCAGTGGAAATATCCAGGCGTTACCACATTAGCTTAACCTGTATATAATGTAAAAATGTGAATCAACAGCACTCTAACCACATCCTACCACAAGATCTAGCCTTACTACCGCCACCACTGCTTCCTATTGAAGCATCTATTTGCGGCACTGCTGCTGGTCCTATGTTCTTGACTAAATGCACGTGTGCAAGTTGCACAGACAACATGCAGTGTATGTGTGTCACATGCATTTACACCAGTAAACATTCATGATGGATCATTATTTCCTCTACTTGCACATATCCTGATACCACAAGCTGTGAGACAGTAAAAATATCTTCAGGAGGCTTTAAATTACTGCATAAAAGGCACGCATCAGACAGTAAACTTCTGCAGGAAGATTAACATAAAACCCTACATTAAAGAAGCCAAACAACTGAGTGGTATCTGCTTCTTTCAACAGATACTACTTAGCTACAAAACGAGCCCTGACTGGCAAGCTACCACCCTAAACAGAAATCACAGCAAGGGTTATCAGACCAAACATTCCTATAGGAGCAACACGTGCTGATACTGAGTAGAAACGAGAACTGCTGAGCCAAAGTACATACACAGCACAAGCACCTTTGCTCCAATGTACCTCGTCACCGACAGGTTGATTCTGCACACTTGCCTCTCCAACTCTGCCTGACTGTAGTAAACACCCTTCACAACTGAGAAGACAGGAAGATACTCTGTCATTCTGCAGAGAAAGGGTTTGGCACACCAGGTTTCTCTCCTTAAAGAATTTGTCCAATGTGAGAAGAGGAGGTCCAGAAAGTCCCAAAGCTTTAAGAATTCCAGCTGCACTGAAGAGAGGAAGTTTGTTGTTGTTTTTTTCTCCAAATAATAATAAAAAACCCAAACAAATCAGGAACTCAATGTTTCTCCAGTGAAACTCACCCTACAGACAGGAAGTCCCTGAAGATGAGTTTTAAGTCTGCAACACAAAGTCATCCCATGCAAAGCAACGCATACGGGAAAAAACAACCCTAATTATACACACAACGTAACAGGATTTAGTTTAGTTGTTATCAAACAAGAAACCCTCAGGCTTAGTACAAGCCCATACCTTCAGAGTACTATTCAATGCCCTGCAGCAGCCAAACAGGCAAGAACAACATTTTTAAGAGCAAAACAAGTTACTGTTATAGCACTACAAAAATTTATTATGCGATGCTGGTGTCACTGTCTAAAAAAGTATAGTAAACACAGAAAAGGCAAATAGAAAGGGGACAAAGATAACAAGAATGAAACTGTAGCCGCGCAGAAAATATCAAATAATTTAGACTTTCAGCTGAAAAAACAGAGGATACAACAGTTCTATAAAGTCATGAATGACACGGAGAAACAAACAGCAAACATTTGTTACCTCTCACTGCACATGAGATGGAGTGTTTGATGAAATTACTGAACAGTGGACTGACTTGAAGGCAGAAAGAAACAACCACCACATTAAGTTACAAAGCTCAGTGCCAAAGATACTGTGAGATCCAAAGCAGAAATGGGTTCAAAGACCAGTTAGAGTATAGCTTTTATATATCCATCAAAGGACTTAATCCTGATGCAATCACCACCTGATTACTGGAAAGACATACAGAAGAAGAATTATTCCTGCCTACCTGCCAGCAACCTGACACTACACCAGATCATTCCTTGGTCTCACCAAAGTACAGTTGCTGATATGTAAAGCTCCAGGACCAAACATTTCTAAAAGCGATATCAGGACGATATTTTTAAAGACCATCCTCTCCAGCAGCGTGCTTTAACACAGTCAAGTAACACTGCCATTGTTGGTTTCTTCTCCCTGTGTTTGATCTTGACATTTACTATGGGTAATATTTCAGTTAGGTCTCCAAGATCCCATTACTCAGACCAGTTTGCAGTTGACTACTGCAGCGTTCATCTACTGTTTCGCATTTGATCTTGCTCAAAGCTGACATTGCAGAAAGCCCTGGAGAACTGAGCAGCCACACAAGCAGTAAGGATGGGTGTTTGGCATTTTGCACTATATTGCTATTGATAAGGAAACATTAGATAAAGACAGGAAGGACAAGCACCCTTCTGGAGACACCTCTCCCCTTCACAATTACAAGAGGAAGCCCAATAATGGGCTTCATCTGCCAGACAGAAATCAGCAGTGACTGCTTTTCACCTGGTCACAGGAAGAGGGACCATCACTCTTGGTAGATGAAAGCTGGGATGACAGCAGTTCTGCACTGGAAGTCTTTAGACGTGAGATTTTAAGAGCCGGCTGCCACAGTGGCTCAGCATGCCACACTCCAGGCCAGCAGCCTCTGGGATCAGCCAAGAGCAAAAGATGTTTGCCACACAACAGTGTATGACATGCCAAGACAGCTTAATAATTTCAGTTTAATAATTTATGTTGGTAAAAGCAGGATCTATTTCTCATTCTGACTCCTCTCTATCAGCACAAGGCTACATTAACTCCATTGTGCTGAGCATACTGCCAACATCACTATTTTATAAATATACATTATCTAGCAGCTTTATGGACCTGGACTTAAGCTATACACAGAACACAAACAGCTTGCTAAATAAAGTTAGAGCACTTTCCCCAAATCCAGGTAAAAGTATCAGACCTACCACCTTACTGCAACTCATTTTTCTAGACCAAAATAAATTAAGAAACTTTCGTACCTCCAGCTGTTTTAATGTTTTAGTCCTTTGTCTCCACTTTATAGGCTTCCATAATTACATGTTTTATCAAAGACAAACACAGTGTTCATCCCCTCAATACGTAACCCTAATCTCAGTGGTGATTTACCCCCTCCACACAATCATCTTCTCCATTTGCCTGTATAAAAGCACTCAATGCAGAGAGAAAATAATCGTGTTATGTCACATGCTTTAAGATCTGACAGATAACCCTTGTGCAGCAATTTCAACTACCTTCATTTCTCAAACCAATCCAACAAACAGCGCACAGGACGCTGTATATACTGCCAGGTTCAGACAAGGAGATAAGATACAAAGATGAATATATCTGTACTACCAGAAAGATTATTCCCCCATCTCCCCCAAACTGTCACATTAATATATTTGTGAAGGGGTATGGCAGAAGAATGTACAGTGTAAATGCAAATGCAAGACAGAAAAGGAAATACCAATCTTTCACACAAAGTATCACAGAAAACCACAAACAGCGGTATGGGGGAGGTGGGGCAAGAAATAACGTCTTTCCAGCACCAGATCTTTTCAGTGTTGTCACATTTCAAGTCTTCTGGCTAAAAGGGTACTTTCAACCCAGAAGATCCCCAAGAACTTTAGATACTTTAGGTATTGCACTACTGGGAGGAGCTTTCATCAGGAACTAAAATCCAGCTATTGAAATAGGACATACAGCAACACTTTATGGCAAGATAGGGACTCACTAGGAGAGCTACCAATACTGAGACCAGTGTTAACACCAAATATGGATTTTGACCAGATTGTCAATACTAACACTCTGACATTTCACACCCTGCTTTTTCTATTACCTTTGATTACAACAAGCAGCTTAAAAAAAAGGTAGTTCTTCTATCTCACCCAAGACAGTGCAAAACGCTTGAAGAGGAGCTCCTAAAAACAAGTTAGTAATGAGACAGCTGCTATCCGACACAGACCCATTTGCTCTTGCACACTGACAGATCCTAGATCTATCCTACCACAACGTGGGCCAGGCTGGTGGCAAGCAGTGCCACAGGGACACGACACAGGACCTTCACGGATCATGCCACTGCCCCAGCTGAAACAGCCCATCCTGCACACAGGCACCCATCGCTTCTCACCACTGACTGTGCCCAAACCCACCTTTCCAGACGCTGACCTACAAAGAGCCCCGTGCCTGTCGTCCTCCGGGCATTTCCCACAGCGCTGCCTGACCAAAGCGCAACAGCGGGGCCCACTCCCACCGCAGCCACAAGAGCTGCCTGGCAGCCAAGCCCACCTCAGGGGCACGGCCGCCCTGCCACGGCATGGCTCCCGGGGATGCTGCGAGGGCCAGCTGGCCCTCTGACACACCAAGTCAGACCTCCGGCATCAACCCAGACACCCAACAGCGGGGCAAGGAGGGGACACCCGGCCCCGCCATGCCACTGTGGGGAGCGGGCACCCCCTGGGTGGGGCCCGCACCTCGAGGCCCAGGGGCAGCCACACGTGGCCAGCCATGCCAGGGGGACGAGGCAGCGGTGTGGAGGGTGACAAGGGAGGGCGGGCCCGGGACCCCACGGCGGCGGGACAGGGCCGCACCGCAGCCACCCCCCCCCCGGTCCCCTTCACCGCCTGGGGCTCGGCAGCCCCTGGAGCACGGCGCCTCGTCAGGGCGCATGCGCAGCAGCGAGTCCCCCCGCGGCTCACTATCCGGCAGCGAGTCCCACCGCCCCCAGCGCGCACGCGCGCCTTTAGCCGCCTCAGGGCGGCCGCTCAATGGCTCACTATTTCGCAGCCGCCAGCCCGGCCCTCAGGGGTGCCGTGGAGCGGCAGGCGGGGCCCGCCGCGGGGAGCGGCGCGGCGGCCACCGGGGAGGCCGGGCGGGGGCGAAGCGGAGCTTTACCTGCGGGATACTCGACGTGAGTGAGGGAGACCGGCCGCCACGGAGCGGGGAGCGAGCACTCTCCGACTGCGGCCATCTTACCCGGATACCGGGCCGGGCCAGCAGGGCCAATCGGAATGCACTTAAGGGGCGGTGCAACCAATGGGCGGGAGCGCGGAGAGCGACGGGCCAATGACGCTACGCGGCAGGTGAGGCGCCGGCCAACCCACAGCCGCCCAATTAAAAATCCAACCCGGGGAGCGGCAGAGCCAATCGTCAACTAGCGTCGGTGCCCAGTAGGAGAGGGACGCAGGTAGCGGGAAAGCCAATCGAAAGAAAGGCGGGCGTCAGTGCCCTTCGTCATTGGCGAAAGGAGCGATGCAGTTTAGCCAATCACCAGCTTCCATTGCCGCCAGCTCTTAGCCAATCAGCTGCGGCGCTGGGGTGGTCGGCACGGGGGGCTGAGGAAGGGGCTTGTTGGCGACTTGGCGGTTAAAATGGCCTCCCCCTCCCGCCGCGGGCCTGGGGTGCCCCGGCCGGGACAGCCCTCGGGTGTCCCGCTTTGGAGCCGGGCCGGGCTGACGGGGAGCCGTGCCCACGGGAGGACTCCCCCTCACGACCTCCCTGCTGCCGCCCCAGCGTCTCACGGCCTCCTGCTGCGGTGCTTGTGTTCCCTGGCGCTGAGGGAAGGCTGCGGGGCCCGGAGAGGGGCGGTGTGGGGCTGGCGTGCTGAGGAGCTGCTTCCTTCTGTGGCCCTGTTGTTAATGAATAAGAACCAAACCCTGCTTTTCTCACGTCACCCTTTTCAAGGGTGAAAAGGTATGTGTTTAAAAAGGGAATCTTTTCATTTTATAAATGTTATTACTACAGATAGTACTACATAACAGGATTATTGCACTAGCCTAAGCATAACATCTCTACTTGTCCCTGCACAGGAGTGATTAGCTGACACGGCCTAAGCTCTGTTGAGAATGCCTTTTTTTTTTTTTTTTTTTTTTAAAAAACACTAGGAGGAAGATGGATTTTGATAGCCACATCTCCTTTACAGGTCTGTAAAGTACAACCAGCTCCTGTGTGAACATGCACATGCTAAAACAAAGCATGTTTTTGTTCCAGAATCTTAAGAGAAAGCAGGATGCTGATGCTCTGCACGTCCTTTAAAAGGTACTGCAAAGGCCAGGCAATACCTGGTCCAGGCAATACCTTTTCTTTTTTTCTTCCCGCAAAATACCTTTCGCCACTGAAAACACCCACTTTTAAGACCAAACTGAAATGAATGTTCCCGCGGGTGAGCCCAGAGAATAATATTTACATGGGGAGCCCGAGGAAAAAGCAGAACACAAACAGTGCAGCACTTCAAAAGTGAGATAAATGAGCAGCGTTACACAGAAAAGCTTGAAGGCAGCAAATACACCTTCAAACCAAACCATCAAAGTTAATTCAATTTTAAAAGACAAAACTGACAGAAAAATAAATATGCAAGAGCAGCACAAGAAGTGACAAACATAGCCAAAGGGTTGCCTTTAATTTTTATATGTCAGGAAAGCTCATGGACTAGGATTTCTATCCCTTAACACGTTCACTGTAAAGTAAGATTTCAGATCAGGGAGAACACCCCTTTTCCTGCAGTTGTAATATTCCTGTTTTCAGATAGCAATTATGACTATGTCCAATTAATTTCAACAGCTCTTCAAAGCTGATACTTTTCCTGGCATTGCAAGAAGAAAAATAGCATTAAAGTCTTATTATTTTGAAAGAAAGAGCAAATATTTACTGCAGAAGTTCAGCTCTTTGCAGAAGACTGCTACAAGGTAGCATGAGTGATTTACTGCTTTCATTATTCAAGTTAAATAAATCTCCTCCTTTCCAAGCTATTGAATATAGAGTTATGCTGGCAGAGTGGATTACATTTGATCTATGTACCATGACAAGTACTGAAAATTGTGGGCTTCATTGCTATATTCACCCACTCCTTCCTGAACATAAGAAGAAAGTGTCAATACACAGAGCAGCCTTTGCTCTGTTCCTTCAGCATAAGAAAGCACAAAGCTGCTCTGGAGATGTAATGAGTATACAGTCTGACACCATGGAAACTAAGATAAACTCCGTTTAACTCTTTCAACTAACATTCAGGGTGTGGCATGAGACAAAAATTTTCCTATTCATGAACACTTTATTTGCATACATCATAGTTCATGACAGGCTTGCATTAATGCTAACCGAGGCTTATTATTTTTTTATTTTTAAGTGCATGGATGAAATCTTAACCAGTGTGGAAGCAAACAGCCTATCTGATTCAATCTGGTTTCTGTATCATTTGAAAATGAAAGTACTTAAACATACTGCAACTGCTTCAGAAGAGTGAGAAGATGAGTTTCCTGCATTGCTCAGCAGATGGGCATCTCTGATATCAACCCACAGTCTTTACTCTGGGTTTCTTTCACACAGTTTGGGAGGCTGATAATTATGCTACAAGAACTTGGACAATGTTTAAGAGATTCTGTTCCTTACTGGGATTTTTGTTATCACTTTATCATAGTCTGCTAACCTACCCACACCACACCCAAACACAAGCAAACCACCATGGAAAAAGAAAAATCCAAAAAATGAAACCCCACAGTTTTCAACCACTGCTCAAAGTACAATGCATTGTCTTGTTTATTTTATAGCCTGCTTAATTGAAGGACTTGTCTACAGTAGAACCAGGAAGACTCCCCATGCAAACAAAACCTTTAAGTTTACTTGCTGTAAGTTTAGCATTTTGACTCCAGGAAGAAAGAGCCTTGTTTTATACCATCACTCTAGCACCAGAGGTGTCACCACAACTGTCACCTAAATCAGAAACCAAAGACTGAGTTTCTAGCAAGTTTCACCAGGAAATTTAGAAACAAAAAACACAATCATGAAGGAAAGTTTTATTTGATTTGTAATGCCCACATCCTAAGATTATAAGATTAAAGGTATTTTAAAAAAATTTAGCTGCAAAGAAAAAGAAAGAAGCAAAACAAGAACAGATTTTTACACCTTTAGGAAATCAAGAAAAAATAGGCACAAGTTTACATTCATTAGTTTCACATATGGCAGAGGAATGTTTTCATGAAGAGGGGTAAATAAAATCCTGCTTTCCCACCTCCTTGTATGAGACAGCACAAGTCATGCTCTTCAAAGCCACACCGATCTTGTAGATACAACAAGGCAGATTTTTCCTCATATTTTTTTATTAATGTATTTGTGCTTTAAAGATCATAAAGAGCGTCCTAGAGCCATTTGGTTTAGTCTCTACATTGATACTAAAGTACTGAGTACGTACTTTAACCACTGGCGAAGCTTGTTACAACCTCCACATAAAAACTGAAAGTCATGCCTATTTGAAATTCTGTTTAAGCATCAGAAACTATGGAAGGATTTTATTTCATAGCTGCTAAGCCACTTTAAATCCCCATCAGTGTTAAAATCTTGCAAAATCAGCCCAGAATGATTTAACCCCTTGAGAATAAGGGTTTATTATAAAATAGGCAAATATCTTATCTCTAGAGATTCTACCTGAATATGTATCTCATCTGCTACTAATACTGAAGAATTTCCTTTGCTAAAACACAACATGCTGGGGAAAGAAGGATTTTCTAGTGATCTCTTACAAAGCCAGAGGGCAGGCAGGCAGTTGTTCCGTCATAATCTTTTACTCTACCCTGCAAAACAGACGAGTATGAGGTGGTTGCTATTTGGGCCAAGCCCTGCTCTGGATGGGATCGGTGGAAGCAGCCCGAGCTCCCGCCTGGGGTTGCATCCGAAGGAGCTGAACGCAGCAGGTCACTGACCACCACACCTCAGGTCAGGGAGAGCTTCTTCCACAGGAACTGCTCCTCTGAACCCGCTGATCTGCAGTACCTTCAGAGGCTGTAAACACCTTTCTTCTGCCTTTCCTCTCAAGCTACACTGGGATTGGGGAGGGAGAAAGAGCAGCAATGAAATAGCAGGGCAGGGGTGTAGAGAAGTTTAACATCCTCCCCAGTAAAGAGAAAATCAGTTTGTCTCAGCAGACATCCTCAGCTTGTGCAGGAGCAAGTTAGTGTTGATGGGTGGAGGGGGAGAACTCAACGTTCAAGAAGCTGTGGACGTTCCCTAGGAAGATTCCTCTTTACCTTCACTGGGGGGGGGCAATGTACCATATTTGCAATAAGGGCTAAGGAAAAACATAAAGCTGTAATAAAACTGTCTTTCTTCCATTTGATTGATTATGAATTTACAATTTCTTAGCTTAAAAAGCTGCAGTGCAAGTTAGTGTTTGCTTCATGGGGACCCTGTTTCAGTATCCTCTCCCGCAAGGATGCAAAAAGACCAAAGTCAGCAGCCAGTGTTCTTGTCTGTACACAAAGCAGGCTGCCCCAAGCACTGAGGCCAAAATGCACTCAAAGTAGTAAATAAATACACATAAAACAATTCTAAAAATAAGAAATAAACAGCATTGATTGTTTAGAATTACAATCCATCTTATTACATTAATCTTCACATTTTAGCATCTTTTTAACCACTATACAAAGCTGCTGAAGTTACTCTTTCTTCTAAACCAGCCATACAAGAGCACAAAGCACTATAAACATTTTTTTTTGGCAAAGTAACTTGCTTTCAGAATATAATGTACTTTTGAATCACAGTTTACATATAGCAGGTGTGTCATGCTAATACAACATCCTCTCTTTCTTCTCTCACTGCATGCTGCCAGGAGCAAGACACCCCAGAGAACTTTCCTAGTTTCAATTGCTGTCTCTTAAATCCTTCTCATAACAGTTTATTTCATGCAGCCTCATTTGGGTCAGCTGCTCCTCACTTCTGCCTCAGCACTGTCTTGTTTATTGCATTAATCTGGTCTTCAGGATAAGCCACATCAGTCTGATGTGCTTATAGAGCAACAGATGTTATGTGCTCTACACTTACCCTCTTGCAAGCATCTCAGGAGCATTTACCTACTCCTTTTACATCCTCCTGTTTACTTTTTCCCTGCTTACTTCCTTTCTGCTTTTACCAGCAGAATCCATATTAGATATCTGCGGAGGAAGAAAGACATTTGTATTCTCCAAGCCCATGCACTGACTTTCCACTCATATGGAAACT